TTTTTTCTATTTCTTTTTAATACACGATTCTTTCTTTCATTTGACTGCTTAATATTTTTATTTTCTATGTTTCCTAAATTTACTGTTGGTATTGAAGTTTTCTTTAGTTTAGGTCTTGTCAATAAACCTAATAATTCAGCTTTTAAATTTCTCTCAAAATCATTTTCTGTGAAATGATCAGAGCAAACATGACAAGAATCAGGATTAAATTTGTCTTTTCTTTTACAGTTATGGATCCATTTTCTTCTTATTATTGGATCTTTAGGAAATCTAAAATAACTGACTTTCCTGTCTAATGACTTTGTTTTACAATGGCTGTTATCACAATTTGCAACAGCACACGTTGCTCCTGGCATCTAAAAATAATAAAATTTATGTATTTGCGTAAATATGCATATTTTAAAAAGTTATATTAATTAATAATAAACAATATTTTTTTACATCGCAGGTTATCTTAAAAGTGTTACAAGCCAGCTTATTATTTGTAGTCGTCATTTCATCGAGCAGATACTATTTTTATACATGCAGAAAACTATTCTTAGCCTATAGAGAACCCGATTGCCTCGCCCACATGTTTACAGGTAGGTTGTAAAACTACCAAGTTCAATATAGGTCAAAGAGGTCATAAAATTTAAAAAATTCACCAAAAATCAAGTTATCGTTATATTCATATGAAAAAAATTATATATCTATATCAGTATGTTTATTTCTAAATACAACATTTTTCAATAAATTTTATTTTAAAAATTTAGGAGAAAAAAAATTTTTTTTGATCATAACTGACATCCAAAGTTTAAAATTCGTTACTTTTTGTCAAAATTCACATTTTTCAGTTACTTCGTTTTTATTGGCACTGGGCCAGAACGATGTAGAATATTGTTTCCTACAATTATATATAAGTTTTATGCATGTACATATTTTTGTTTTTTATTAATGTGAGATAACTTGAAAACGAACGTATTAATTTTAAGCAAATTTTTACTATAATATATTTAGCTTTATTTTTGTTAACATAAGCAAAAATTAAAATATTCTTACATATATATAATAATTACAATACATGCGTTGATATTTAATAAAAATAGATAAAAAGTAGACAAAAATGAATCTGTGATGCTGGCAGGTACAAATCTGTAAGAGGGTATTTATTTATTGAATATGCTGCAAAATGCTAATACATATAAATTTAATGTGAAACTCGATTACATACCTTACTAGTAATTGCAAAAATAATAAAATAATAAAAAATAAAAAAGTGGAAAAAAATGCATCTGTGATGCTGCAAGCACTAAATCTGTAAGAAAGTATTTATTTATTGAATTTACTGCAAAATGATAATTCAAATAAATATAATGTAAAATGTGTGATCAGAATTATATCACATACTTATCCTATCAGCAATGATGTTTTGGAAAACATTCAGGATGTAATCCTTTTAGACAGCGAGTGCACACTGTTCTCGATCTTTTGAGACCCATGATGGTGCAGACACAGCACCTCGATTCCTTCTTTGCAGGTAGTTTTCTCAGTTCCCTTGGTCCTAGGGGATCTTGAGGTTGTTGTTTTGTAGCCATCCATTCCTCCTCCAAGCTCTCTATTATTGATACGTAAAAGGCGTACCTCAGTTTTAGCTTTCCTGGGCCTCCAAAATTTTCTTTGTATAATATATATGAGTTCAACACCATCCTGCCTATAATGTTGAACCCAACTTTCTTCCAGTATTTCACGGTCTTTCTCTCATCCAAGTATGCATATAACATCATATCTGACGTATCGACCCCACCCATAGATTTATTATATTCTAATATTATTTCTGGCTTTGACTTAGTTACATTGCGCCTAACAATTTCTTTTGCACACACCCTCGCATGGCTGGATAGTAGCAAGACCGGAACTTTTTGAGATGCTTTCTCTCTGAATCCACAGGCTAACAACGGCCCGGATCTAAAATAGGATGTTTGGCCCACGGAAAACTTAGACGGTTTTAGTGGGGCGGGCAGGTATTTTCGATTTCGCCGAACAGTGCCAGTTATATAGGTACCCATTGTATATAAATGTCGAACAAGAGGAACCAACATGAAGAAATTATCTACAAAAAAATGATAGCCTTTTTTGAGGTACGACCCCGTCTCAAGCAGCTTATTTACGACGCTGTATCCTAGACCAAATTTAGAATTCATGTCCTTTTCCTGCTGAGTCCTGGCCTCTCTATAAGTGAAAAAACTCAAGCAGTAATTAGAGACTGAGTCACACAGCATCTAAAATTTTATGCCCCACTGATGGTGATGTTTTTTTGGAAGGTACTGCAGGAGTGAGGTTTTATTTTTTGTACCTACAAGGCTCTCATCCACACAAATTTGCTGGTGTGGCGTGTAGTGATGTCGGAACACTCTGTTAGCATGATCAACCAGGGGTTGAAACTTTGCACAAGGATCGTATCCTTGTTCCCCTGGCTTGGATAACTTAGTGTTATTGACGAGATGGAAAAAACGTAACAAGTGATAAAAGCGGGTTCTTGGGAACATTTTCCCAAACCATGGAATGGCTTGGGAGGAAAAAGTGGACCAGTAGGATGCTATTGAAGGCCTTTTGTTCAATCCCATGTTCAATATACATGCTAGGAATCCCTTTATTTCCACACCGAAATTTTGGTCCAGTTCTTCAGAGCGGGCGGTACGTTATTCCCCATGCCATTTATCACTTGTTGTGCGTAACGGTTTGATTCCGTTACGATCAGATGGAGCAAAGTCATTGTAACAAAAAGATTGAAATACGCAATCGGAGGTGAATCTGGCGGTGGCATGTGCTTAGGGCCAGCAAGCTCTAGGAAAGAGAAAGGAAGTGAAGAAGATTGCTCCGGAGATAGAACCTCCTGATAGTCTTCATCATCGTCATCATTTATCGATTGCATTTGATTAGAGACGCTTGGAGGGGAAATATCTTCATCAGAATCATCTGATCCTTCAAATGCACTAAAATCGGGATCAGAGTCAGACTCTGAAATTGTGTCTGAGAATTCCATATAGTCCAAGACATCGGAGTCATCCAAAACTTTTTGTATTTTTGATGATGATGCCATAGTCAAAATAAATTTTTGTAAGTCGATAAATCTAATAAAAAAATAAACTATATGTAACGATATGTTACAATATAAACCTAAAACTAAAATAAAATTACGATAAATGAATCGAAAATATGAAATAGAACGATAATAATTTATTATATATATGATTCGATATAAAATCTATACCTAATGTACCTTACATAGAAAATTACTTTATTTTGTATAGAAAACTATATAGAATAATGAAAAAATAATTAAATAAAATGAACAGAGACAAAATGGCGCCTTACCTGCAACACACACAACAGAAGTCTTCAAGCAACAGAGCAAGAGTGAACTTTGAAAATTCCAAACAAAGGTTATATAGGTCAACAAAACACCCCCTGGCCACAAACATGTGAAACATAGCATTAGCTATACGGCGCCATCAAGTGCTGACATCTATTGTCGATAGATTTCATAAAAAATTATTTTTACCAAAGTACACACAAATCGTTACCCTGGTAATTTTCATTGAAGGGAGGGGTACGACAGTTTGTGACCCCAGTCATCTATGAGTTAGTATTTTAAAGTATTTTATTAATAAATATATTTTATCTGTAACCATATTCTGTAATTTCTACAGAACGAAGAGTAAAGACTACAACAGAATATCAAACTGTTCTAGGAACATTTTTGTTACTTCCAAACAATTTTTATCGATATAATTATCAACATAATTATGTTTAATAATAGTAATAACTACAGATATATTTACCTTCGAAGATTATGAGTCTAAAAACGCTCGACAAATTAAAAAAAAATAGTTAAATTCCAAAATTTTCTTCTCTCGCTTACAGTAGTGAAGCAGACGCTAGGCCACAGCTCGACTACGGATGACGTATATCCGGAATCTGGCAGGAAGTGGCTAAATCGGCTGTATGAGGCAACCTTATAAATCTAAGACCTTGGTTTCATCCGAGGAATTCCTGCGAAACCTGGTGATCTTTTTTTTTGTACTATTTATTCGCATTCATGTACATCACTAATATCCAATAGAACTATTTTAAACAGGTCGCTGCACTACCACCAAATTTTTCATTGCTTGTTCTGTGACAAAACTGAATTTTGGTATTTTAAATTGAAATACCTGAATAAGGAAAGCCGAAATTTTCCTCCGCCCCAAGCGAATGACACCCACGGTATGCCACTGCATTAAAGTAGATACGTAGACACACACAAAAAGTGCCAAATGGGTAATGATTTTATTGGCTATATAAACAATAACGTAAAAGCTTGACTTTCACATCAACAACATCGTGATTAATTAAAGGATAAATGAAACAGAATTCGTAAACTGAACAAAATTTGTGATATAAAACAAAAAACAAATCGAATGTAATGCAATTTTTAAGCGATATTTTCTGTATATAATCGATCTGTTCTTTATATTTTTTATTACAAACATGCCACTTTTTACGAATATTATATTTTAAAATTTACTTTTACTTTTCAAATTATCTGACCAACCACATGCAGTAACAACCCCAGCAAGTGGTCAGATGAATAAGTGGATTTCAATATAGGTGACACATGCATTACTCCTTCCAGTCACAAGTTTGTTTTGTTTTGAATTTTTGGCGCAAGAACCATATAGGCTAAGCTGCGCCAAAGCAATAAATGGAAAATTTTCATATTACAAAATTAAATAAACAAGTGAGTAAATAAACATATAAACATACAACAAAAAATTTATACAATAATTTAAATAAAACTGTATAATAAATACATATAATAAAATACATACAAATCCCTTTATACCTATAAATTAATAACATAAGAATATCACAAAATTAAATAAATATATATAAATAGACAAAACAAGGTACATAAAATTGTAAAATAAATAAATAAATAATCAAATCTCTATATACATATTATTGACTTTCAGAAAGTCCACTATATTGTGCAGATTTGACCTCTGACCCAAGATCTCTCTAAAGCTTGCATTTCCGAAATGCTATTTACGACTTTGGTCAAAAGCAACACAGTTGCAAAATATGTGTTTAACACTGACAGTACAGTTGCAGTACTGACATACTGGTTCATCATCTCCCTTCAAAAGATATTGGTGAGTCAGTCGAGTGTGTCCAATCCTCAAACGAGTAAGGACAACTTCAGATCTCCTATCATACTGCCTATTATGTGTCCAATTTTCTATCAAAGGTTTGATCTTGTGTAGTTTATTGTGGATTTGTGCGTTCCACATAGTTTGCCATCTCTCTGCTAGTCGTTTTTTAACGACCAGCTTCAAATCACATCCTTCAATACCCATTGTATGCTGTGAAGGACTAGCTGACTTAGCAGCTGTGTCAGCTTCTTCATTACCTCTTATACCAACGTGGCCTGAGACCCAACAAAACTTTACAAAAAAATTTCTCGTAGTGAGATGGCAAATTAGTTTTCGAATTTAAGTAACTATGGAGTTAAAACTAGGTTCATACAAGATCAAAGCCTAAAGTGCACTAACTGAGTCAGTGTAAATCACGCAGCAACGATGACCTTTCCTATTTATATACTTTAGAACTAAATAAATAGCCTGCAACTCCGCAGAAAAGATGGAAGAATTTGGTGTTATTTGTTCTGCCACAATTTCATTTTGACAAACAAAGGCTAAGCCCACATAGTTATCAGATTTAGATCCATCAGTATATATTGGAATTAAATTCCTGTCACAATGTTGAATTTCAGCAAAGTGCTGTCTGTAGACGTAGTCAGGGGTGGATTCCTTAGGAAATTGCTTTAAGCAAAGGTCAACATTTAGCACAGAAGCTAACCAAGGTGGTATACTATCAACCTCAGCCTGTAAAATGTTGTTTGTGCTCAGGTCAATCGTGCTGCTTACATTCTCCATTCTTATGTCGAATGTGGGGACACAACTCGTCCGAGCGGCAAATAATCTTTTCAGCTGAGTATCTGGACAATCAGCTGTAAGTTTTTCCTGAGATTTTTGTTTAATGTAATAAAAAAGAGACAACTGTTCTCTCCTGAGAGATAGTGGAGGCTCATAAGCATCCACATACAAACTTTGAACAGGGGAAGTTCGAAATGCACCGGTGCACAAACGCGAAGCTTGATGGTGGATTGGATCCAGCATCCGGAGAGTAGATTCTCGCGCAGAGCCATAAACAATGCAACCGTGGTCCAGCTTAGAGTGAACAAGGGCCCTATAAATCCTGAGCATCGAAACTTTGTCTGCTCCCCAGGATGAGCAGCATAGTACCTTTAAAAGGTTTAAAGATTTTAAACATCTACTCTTCAGGTTGCGCAAGTGTGGCAAAAATGTCAGTTTATTATCGAAAGAAACACCCAAAAACTTAGTCTCATTCATCATTGGGATTTTATCCCCGTTTAGGTAAATTTCCGGATCCAAATGCAAACCACGCCTTCGACAAAAGTGGATGCACGAGGTCTTTTCCGTGTTAAAACTAAAACCATTAGTCTTGGACCAATTGTCTATGCGATTTAAGGAGGTTTGTAGTTGTCTCTCGATAAAACTCATGTTGCTAGACTGGCAGGAGATCTGAAAGTCATCCACATATAAAGAGTGTTTCACACTAGGGGGAAGACAGATAGCTATGCTATTAATTTTATTTAAGAACAGAGTCACACTCAAAATAGAGCCTTGAGGAACACCTTCTTGTTGCGTGAAAGGCCTAGATATAGTGTTGCCCATCCTCACTTGGAATCTTCGATTCTCTAAGAAGTTTTTTATGAAAATTGGCAAATTACCCCGAAATCCGAAATGGTGCAGATCACAGAGTATCCCATATCGTCAACAGCGATCATAGGCCTTCTCTATATCAAAGAAAACAGACACTAAGTGCTGTCATCTAACAAACGCTTTGCGTATAGAGGTTTCAAGGTTTACTAAGTTATCAGTGGTACTTCTGTTCCTACGAAAACCACTCTGATGTGGTGAAAAATAGAGCTATACCCTCACAATGCAGTCAAGAAGAGCACATCTTGCCTGACATGTCTGCCTGGTCTGCATCGATCAGTTGACTCCAAGCCGAGGTCAAAAATGCAAAGCAAAGTTTATAAGTTTTTGTGGGATGGGACGTGAATTTTGCTTCGGCTCACGGAGACTGTACCGGATAGAAAAATTTTAAAATAATATACAAGTTCCTTTAAGAAAATAAATTTAGGTTTTTGTTTTTATATTGGACGGGTTGTGCAAAGCAAAGTTTATAAGGGGCAAAATTCTTTATTTGGAGGATCCAAACAGAAGGAATAACCCCTCGTGATATCCGTGCTGAATCAATACCGTCCTCATTAAGGACAGGTTACTATCATGGATAGGAGCTACTCCATACAAAATTGTGTGGACTAGCGAAACCATACATTGGTCAAAGTCAGCTGTCTATTGTCTTTTCTTTATATATTGCTAAAGATGTGACTGTGCAGCAGGCTCTGAGAAGCTACAAAGTTCCAAGGGCTGAGGAGGTTTTCTTTTCTTTTTAGTCAGTTTCTTAGACCTGAAGGGAAACCTATCTCATCTCATTTTGCCAAAAGGTCACTTTTTCAGCTTCTGAAGCTTCAAACTGACCTAATATAAAATCTTTTGATTTATACCTTCCTTTGATCCTTTTTGTACAAATTTTTTTTTTTTTTATGTTTGGATGTGCAGCTCTGGGTAACAAACCTATTGTAACCCTCATATCCTTTGACTTGCTGAGAAATTTCACGCCTTGGTAAAGATATATATACCTGGCTGTTTTTAAGTGTAATTGCTGTCGAAGGATAAATTAAGATACGAAATAAGGCCAACGATAGGTTCTACTAAGAATCTAATAACAACTCTCCTCTTAAGGACGACGAGGTTACTCTTCTTAGAATTCTGCACCTATGGAAAGAGAAGTGAACTATTCATCCTTATTCGTAACTATTAACTTTCGGAAATGCTCTTCAAACGTCGCCGATACCCTTTGTCGGACTTGACGCCCATTTTCACGTGCGACGGATGGAATCATTTCCTTATTTGGCGATTTCCGCATCGTACCAGGACATTGGAAAAGATGAGAAAAAGATTATGCTGTGAGTACCTTTATCATACAAAATAACTATAAGTGTTGATCAATAGATAACAATTTTTAAGTCGACTTTATCCTTTAAAATTGTACACGTAAGTTGACTACCTTTTATATCTTTATATCCGTAATCTATTTTTTTTTTTTTTTTGACGCAGACGCATATCGCTGGGATCGGCGGTTTTCCATCGAAATTTTTTTGTAAAATCGCGTAACATCATTTTTTGCAAATTTATGTTTGTAAGTTTTGTTAGTGCCTATAACATATTTAAGCTTGAAGTAGATCGAGAGAGATAGAGATTTTTCGCGTATAACCTCAAAAATTTTTTTTTCCTCCCTCTGTTTTTACACGCAAATTTTCTCCATATAACAAAGATACAAAATTTCCCCCCTGGAGAGGCGAACAGAGATTTATGAAGTTTCAAATCTGGAGTTTTGCCTTCAGAGTTTTGACTTATAAAGAAACGTCGAGCATATGCATAGAGAGACGAAGAAGAATTTTAATAGTTCACAATGGAACAAAGATAGAAAATACCAAGAATATAAACCTTTGAGAACTTTACAATACAACTCCTCGACTAACCTAACGATGATCATCATCTATAGGCAACTTCATCTCTCCCAACAGAGAAAGGAAAAAAAATCACACCAAGGGTGTGCGATTTTTAGAAAAGTGGGGAGTTATGTGAAAATCTGACTATCGTATGAGAATTTTAATTAAATACGTAACAAGTTATATTTCTTTCATCATTATTTCCATTATTTCTCCCGTTCTCACCCCATTACCCGAAGAATAGACCCGAATAATAAACTGTGTAATTCGTCCGTCAAGAAGGTCATCCCTAGAACGAAGTCATCCGAGGCGACCGCGGAAGAACTCCCCTCCCCCCAAAGTGTTTGTTTGTTTTTGCTAATTGGTCACACCACAGACACCTTGTAATAGAGTAGTCTCCTGCGGGTGTCCAGTTGACGGAGACGGA